CTTGGTCGGTGAATTTTGGCTCGGACTGGACAAGATAAACCGTCTGACACAAAATAAGACGAAGAACATGCTTCGAGTAGATCTGGGGGTGACTACGCGCCAAACTGTTCACGCTGAGTATGAATGGTTTGGGATTGGAAACGGGACGGCTGACTATCGGCTGTACATTGGCAATATGACAAGTAAGTAAACAGTCTTTTTACACATTCATCGTTTGATCTTTATGTATTACTTCCTTATCGACGTCTACTGCCCCATTCATACCAAAGCTCAAGGGGTTTTGCTTAGGGTTAGGTTATTGGCTTCTTCAGAGAGGCTTCTTAAACTGTTGTTTGTCCGCTTCAAATTTAGTAAAATGAAAATACAAGTCAGTGAAAACTTGAATCCTAATGAAAACTGATTTTTAATTCAATCCCTTCCCCCAACTTCACGTAACCTTCAAATAATGGTTTGTTTTAGCGTATACCCGCTTGACTGTGTTTTGCTGTTCATCTTGCTTATACCTAGTTGAGTCCACGCTCCTCCGTGGTCAGTTTGCTCTCGAGATTGCTTGAAATAGAAGAGTCATTGAACTCGGCTTTAGCAAAATCATAAAATTTTAGTATTCATAATTTTGCCCGATATTTTTGTATTTCGATAATAGTAGTTATCGAGTTTGAAGTGTCAAAAGTGTTATCATGATCCTAATATTATGGAATTTTCTTTTTTTTTAAGCAGATGCAACTGTTTCCTATGATTCCCTCAATCCTCACAAAGATTTCATTTTTGGTACCTGGGATAGAGATGCTGCTAATTGTACTCTAAAAAGAGGCGGAGGTTGGTGGTATGGCAGCAGTAGTGATTGTGCTGTTTCGTCGAATCTCAACGGAATTTATCCGCATTGTGGAAATAAAACCTTGGCCAATATCCATTGGGATCAATTGGATCAAAACAGTCCCGAGGGCAGCACCCCCACATCAACTGAAATGAAAATTAGACCAGCGGATTTTTTTAAAACTTTCTGACGATAAAGTGTTCATATAAATAGTGATTTCTGCGTCTTCAGAACGGTCAAATTCGCTTTTAATACAATTGTGGTTTGCAGATTAATGATCGAGTGGCCTTTGCATGCATGGTGATGTTGATCCTTTTTTACGTACTATTCATTGTTGATTTGAAAACGCTATGATTAAAAAAATCAGTTCGCTTGCTGTCGAAATTAAGCCAAAATATCTGTGAATTCAGTTTTCTAATATCCGACAAAGAAATTTATCCGGACCAATCGATGCTATTTTGAAACGTTAAGAAGTAATTTCCATGACAAGATATACGACGTGTATTTTTTTCAAAGCCATTGAATTCTAGATTTTAAAATGCTTAGAATATACAGATTAGAAGAAATGACGAAATCATAGACTTAACCATATATAGTTGATCAACTGCGATTTTAGAAAAGAATATTTTCATCACATCGAGATTAATTCAGAAAGATTTATACCTATGGAACGTTCTAAGCTACTGGCTGGAGCTCATAATATTTCATGTTTTTACTTAATTTTACAGTTTTTGCGTTTTATGATGATTTTTAAAGCTTCGTCTTCCTAGAGCTATAAATAAAACGATTTAAGATTAAATCAAAATATGTAACTTAAGACATGTGAGTTTTAACGAGTGGAGAAATAAAGACTGTTGTTCATTATTTATGCATTTACGTCTATAGCTATGCGAAAGTGTTGCAATGGTAACCCAGTAGGTTGCAAACCTATTATACTAGAGGATTTCTAAGCTTACAATGGTTATTCATTTCCATATTTGCCAGTGAAGCTTCTTGCGCACGATCGACAAGCATTTAAGACTGTAAAGGTTTGGAGGTGTAAGTTGGGAACCTAATCTTAGCACAAATTAGTAAACAACTTCACAAGTACTTTATATTGCATATCTTGTTGATACAAATAAAACCAAACCAAAACAAAACATTACAAAAGAAGAAACATATGTGTCCCAAACTAGGATAGATACGAACGAAAAACGCTATTTGTAATCTCTACGAATTATCAGTGAAACCCTGGATAAAGAAGGACTAACATTTGATTTCGGTCGCGGTATGACCAGGAAACGAACTTACTTTGGACCTTATTTGTCTGTGTACTGTTCTAACATCTGATGAAACTGCATGGCGACTGATCATTAAGCTACTTAGCTATTAGTCTGTGAAGGAAAAGTCCGAGACACTAAGGTAATGTTTTTTATTCGTTTCCCTCTCAATTTAAAATCTCTAAAATACAAAGCCAATAGTTTAGTTTATAAATGCGCAGAAACACTACGTTTTCGCTTTTTATGGACTAGCCTCTCTCGTATTGAGAGAAATTGAGACAGTTTAAGTAATCTTCGATAAATTTTAATTGTCATGTTTATTGGATTTAACCTATCGGTCGGATCGCCTTTGCAGGTTGAATTGCTGCCAGAATAAAGTCCTTGAATTTATGATCCATTACATAAACGGGTTGCTGCCACCTTCAAGTCGCTTCAAGGCAGAATTTCTTCTCACAGCATCAACACAATATCGAGTAGACAAGTGTTGAGAATATCGAGAAACATAAATAAGGGAGTTATTTATAGCAGGATCTAATAAAAAATTCCCCAAAATAACACCATAATGATTGAATGGCAGCCAGTAAGGAGAATTTCTGATAAGATCTTGAGAGTAAAACGCCGGTAAAGGGGATACACGGCTATCACTGCACTAAAGAATCTATCGAGCATTAGAAAGTGGACCGTGAGCAACTCCAATCTTCCGCCATTACGATTTCGAGTCCTTAACGCGTGAATAATATCAAGATTAGCTTAGGCAAGAGCGGGATGGAGAGGATAGAGTGGGATAAAGTTAAGTGAGATGAACTCAATGAATGTGAAATTAGAAAAAAAAAAAAAGATTTAGATGACGAATAATAAGATTTGCGAATAATAAGATCTGACATTTTGCCATCAGCCTACCTCGGTAGCCTCGGAGAAAAGTTTTCGGCGAAAATGCTTGCTAATAGTAAAATGCATATGCGTTAGTTATAAGACTCGACTCATAGATGCCTTAGAAGGTTATCTGCGGTTTCTCAAGCTTCAGGCAATTTGGTTTTTGTTTTTGTTTTTGTATTTTTAAAATGATTTTCTTCATTGATTGACACAGGCATTAATGGAAAAAGAACTCCGAGTCGAACCTATGACCTTCCGAAAAATACTTCCAATTTTCTGGAAACTAGTAACAGGCTGAGTTGTTTAATTAAGTCCATGGCGACAAACCTCCTCTGTGCTGCTAGGATAGGAATGTCGAAATGTGATGCTATTGCACAATAGTGATTTAAATGAAAACGTTCAATTTTAATCCTTGTGATTTGTTTTTTGCTTTGTTTTTGTTTTCTCTATTTTTTTGTTTTCTCACACGGACTCTCTGCGAGTGCCCTTACGCACTTGGTTGTTGACAGTTTCCTGTCTTTTCTTTCACAACTCAAATATGATACGACAAATGAAGAAGGCATGGCGTCTCAATTACAACTCACCTATCGGCCAACGAGAGCGCGAACACTATGTTTAATTTTTTTCACTATGAGTCATTGAGGCGGGTATGCAGACATTTTTGTCTTAACCGTCGGCATCCGAGTTTCCGACTGTCTATCTTATTTCTGATCTTTCGCAATATCTGCCCAGTGAGGTGTAACAGGATATATACTATTGTAGAATGCCTCTCAATGCCACCCAAAGAAAGAAAGAAAAAGCGAAACAAAAATTTAAAGAACTTTAATTCTGCAAAGTTTTCAAAAAAAACTTATCTGAATCGCATTTTCTAATTGCTATATGAGGAACTTTGGCTGTTATTGTTACAGCCTTTCCGAAGAACATGAACAGACTGGGACTCCCAAATTAAGTTTGTTCCGATGCTCAAAGAATTCAACTTAGTGGTAGTGCTTGATTGCCAGGGCTAAGATTACGTGGCAACTAACCAGGAGATAAATAAAAGTTTTAGAAATTTTAAGTACGTCATTGTGCAGAAGCTGTGCTTGACAAGACCCCGCCAATATCATTTCTTACGGTGCGCATGCCCGTGGGGCGGGGGGTAAGTACTTCATGGAGAGAGGCTAATCAGGCTTTTCCGCTGGATTGGATCGCATTTTCACAACAGGATTGACTATAATGAGGTTGCATTTACCAATAGAATTAAAAGAATGGGGTCGCAGGTCCTTCGGGATTTTGGGGTGAGAATATTCTCGTAAGTAGGGATTTAAAAACGGGAACATTTACTGTCAAAAAGTTGTCACAGTATTCCGTGCTGTTGTTTAACAATCGGCTGGCATTAGAGCCAATGATTCTTTGTATAAGTGCATAGGAAGTGTTTTTTTCCTTAATCATTTTAACTCAGTTTCGTTTTAAGAATAGTCTTGCACGGTCGTGTTTTATTGGAGAAAACCTTTCCCTACAGTTTCCTCAGGGGTTGAACAATCTTGGGTATTGAGATAACGAATTTCCGATCCATTACGAAAACGGGAAGCAAGCTTTAAGCACTATTCTGGGTCGGTCACGGCTTACGCTGAATTGAATGATGACGTCTCGGTGAAAATTTATGGTGCCTCACGATACAGCTGATTCTTTCGTCAAAAGTTAGCTTTTGGTCACTGAAGGAATTTCTCTACAGCAACGAAACTCTAGAGCAATGACCGAGGGGAACCTTCGCCGCACATAGTGCGAAGGAATAAAAGGCTGTGGAATTTCTTGCTCTAATCTTGACCTGAACGCTGCAGGCGAAGCACCGTCTTTGTCAGTCTTCGTCGACATCTTCGTTTGATGCACGCGGTTCTCCTTCGTAGGACTGAACCGTTCTCGCAACTTCCATTTCTTCTCTTAACAATTGGTTCACACGTCAGCTGTGCGTTCATTGAGATATGAAGCACTTAGGAAGTTTAGAGAGCACGAAAGATGCGTAAGAGTTGCTCGAGGCTACGCTTCGAGGAACTTCACGCATCTTCAGACATCTTCATATCATCTTCATATCATCTTCATATCATCTTCATATCATCTTCATATCATCTTCATATCATCTTCATATCATCTTCATATCATCTTCATATCATCTTCATATCATCTTCATATCATCTTCATATCATCTTCATATCATCTTCATATCATCTTCATATCATCTTCATATCATCTTCATATCATCTTCATATCATCTTCATATCATCTTCATATCATCTTCATATCATCTTCATATCATCTTCATATCTCGATAAACGCACAGCTGACGTATGAACCAATTGTTTCATAACATTTTCAACGCGATGGTTTTAATTTTGTTTGAAGTAAAAAATCGCGGAATTTTTTTTTCTTTAGGAATTTGTTTGCTGACGTCATGAGCGTGCACAGTAGTAATATGAAACACGCTCACGTAATTGAATTTGATTAGACAAATTACCAGCTATGTTATAATACTACTTGAGTACGATGTATCACAACTCTCAATGGAGTTTGTTGAAGGTAAGTATACATCGCTATTGGACATCATTTAAAGAGTATTTCAACGCTGACCGATACAAAATTACGAGAGATATGAGAGATTTTTTGGTGTCAACCCACTAATTCGTTACCGGTCCACAGCACTTAAATTTTTCTTCTATCGTAATTGGTTTGTACAAATCATAACCTAAGTATTTACGCAAAAAAAAAAATCGTGTCATAGGCACTTTAATTACTCGGTTCTCTGGATCCAATACACAATTCTACTGACATTCAAGCTTATTTCATTCTGTGTGACCCTTTTGTTAACCTCTACGGCTCTTACACTTTGATACTCACCTCTTGTTCAACCAAAAAAAATTTGACTCTACTATTTTGCACACTGTCTACATTCTTCCAGTCTGCTTTCCTCTCTCTTCTTTCTACCCTCCTAAGTAAGCTAGAAAGAACAAGCTTTAATAGTCACTACTGACAGATATGGATGGGTATGCCAGCCAGCTGACCCAGGGGGATTGAACATTTTTCGTTAGAACACTGAACCAAACAATTTCACGAGTCTTTCGAAATGAACAACCAAGTATTCAATCACGTTGTGATTGCGTTGTGCCAAAAAATGAAATTTCGTGTGGGTCGGAATTCGAATTCATACATAAAATAAGTTTTAAATATAAATGAAAGATTAAATCATACTAAACTGATAAAACTAAACGACGAACTAATCATCATCTAGCCAAACACTTCATAACAGATTTATTGAAGTAACATGCTACATTTTATTGTGTCGCCGCAAAAGTTATAAAGAGAGACATACGTCATATTATATTGAATACCTCAATCCAAATCACATGGCAGTAATCATTACAAAATAGGCTGCGGTGACCTCCTCGGTCCAAGTGCTGGAATAAATGCCTCGCGGTTAGAATGTTTTGCAGAATTTTAAATAAGAAGTTCTTTCGAGCATCCTGAGAGTATCAAATATAAACTGTAATGATTTAGAGGGTTCCCAAAAGTTATGTTGATTTTCTAGATAATGAAACAAATGCGTGAACGTGGGTATTCCTTATGGCGACGTTCAGGGCTCTGCCCACGTTATTTGACAATAATTATAAGTTATTTACCGAGTATAAATATTTATTCCTACTTTTGCGATGTTTCTAATTCAACAAAATATTTATCTAAT